GAAATCCTTCAAAAGCCGTCGGTTTCAGAAGGATTTCAAAATTGAGTGTCTAACACATATATATATATATATATACGTATACACATGTTTTCGCAACGCAGATTTTCAAACAAAAACATGTGCGTTTTTGCAAATTCATGACAAAACCATAGATTCATCAACAGTTCCACGAACATTCTACCAACGGGGCGTCGCGCGCGCATCTCGAGATCGTTCGAACGCCCTTGCGCGCGTGCCGTCGCGAGAGTCCTCTGCAATCAATGGGACGAGGTGCACGCGCGTGCGTCGTCGCGCGCGCATGCCGAAATCCTTAGAAAATTCTCGGTTTCGGAAGGATATCAACATCGAGTGCCCAAAACACATACAAAAAACAAGTTTCGCAACACGGATGTTCAACAAAAGCGTGCGCGCCGCTCTTGCGTCGTCGTCGTCGTCGCTGTCTTCCCTCCTCCCTCGTCTCTGTCGTCGCCGTCGTCGTTCTCTTCGGCGTTGTCGTCGTTTCCGTCGTCGTTGTCGCCGTGGTCGTCTTTTCTCCTCCCTCGTCGTCGTTGTCCGTCGTCGGCGTCTCGTCGTCATCCCTCCTATTTCGTTGCCGTCGTCGTCGTCGTCGTTTTCCCTCCTCCCTCGTCGTTGTCGTCGTCGGCGTCGCCGTCCTCCCTCCTCCCTCGTCGTTGTCGTCGTTGTCGCCGTAATCTTCCTCCGTCCTCCCTCGTCGTCTTCGTCGCCTTCGTTGGCGACGTCGTCGTCGGCGTCTTCGTCGTCGGCGTCGTCGTCGTCGTCGTCGCCGTCGTCGTCGGCGTCGTCGGCGTCGTCGTGATCGTCGGCATCGTCGTCGGCGTCGTCGACGTCGTCGGCGTCGTCATCGTCGTCGTCGGCGTCGGCGTCGGCGTCGTCGTGGAGGTCGTCGTCGTCGGTGTCGTCGTCGTCGTCGTCGTCGTCGTCGATGTCGTCGTCGTTGTCGTCGTCGTCGTTGAAGTCGTTAGTCGTCGTCGGCGTCGTCGTCGTCGTTGTCGCTGTCGTCGTCGGCGTCGGTGTCGTTGCCAAGTGCCATTTGGTACCTACCGTCGCGGTCTTAAGAGGTCTTGCGACCAAGTTGCGGATGGGAGGGTGGGATGTGTGCACGAGCAGTGGTGAGGACAGCTTCAAGACAGTCAAAGTGAGTTGCACCAGTTAGACTGTCCCACGTAGCTAGCACGGCATATGTTCAATTGCGCGGATTGCACCACATGGGTTGGACAGTTTATATTGCACCACATATGTTGCACAACATGTGTGTATATATATATATTGCGCCGTTCTAGATTGCACAACTTAAATTGTATAACATCGGTTGCACCGCTTAGACTACACCGCACAACTGTCAGATCCTACATTCAATGCGTCGATTACACCACATGGGTTGCACACCATACTGTGTACCACATAGCGTGGACAACACATGTTACGCCACGTAGAAATATAGCACCACATGTTCTGGCCCACATATAGCGCCGTGCACAACACACATTCCTAGACACATCGGTTCGGGGCCGCGCTGGTTAATACGCACACGTATATGCATATGGGTATGCATGTGACATGTGTATGTATGTATGTATGCGTGTATGCACGTATGTATGTATGCATGTATCTAGATGTCTGTAGGTATACGAGTAATATGTACGTATGCATGGATGCATGCAGGCATGCATGCATGTATGTATTTGTATACAGTTATACAGCTACAGTTATTGGTGTGCATACGTGGACATGTGTATACCTATACGACCACCCTTCGGATGATAAGGAGGTTCGGGGGGGGGAGGAACCAACGTCTCACGCGATCGGTCTCACTATCGATCTGACGATCGATCTCACGATCGGTCTCGCTCGATCGATCCCGATCGATCTCACAATCGGTCTCACTCGAACTATTTCATTCGCTCGATCGCACAATCGATCTGACTATCGATCACAATCGGTCTCACTATCGATCTCATTATCGATCTCACAATCGATCTCACATTCGGTATAACTATCGATCCCACTATCGATATCACAATCGATACCACAATCAACGTCATCATCATCATCATCAACATCATCGTCATCAACGTCATCAACATCATCATCATTATTTGCATCATCGGGACACCACCATCATCATCATCATCACCTCAGCGCCATCATCATCAACCTCATCATCACCATCATCATCATCATCATCATCGGGACCATCATCGTCACCATCATCATCAACATCATCATCATCGGGACACCATCATCATCATCGGAACATCAACATCATCATCATCATCATCTCATCATCATGATCATGAACAACGTCATCAATATTATCATCGTCATCATCGGGACGCCATCACCATCATCATATTAGCAACATCATCATCAACATTACATCATCATCACCGTCATCATCATCAACATCATCGGGGCACCATCATCATCATCATCATCAACATCAGCATCATTATCACCATCATTGGGCCACCATCATGAAAGTCATCATCACCACCTCATCCTCTCATCAACATCATCATCATCGGGACACCATCATCGTCATCATCATCATTTTCATTATCATCATTATCGGGACACCATCATCATCATCCCCATCATCATCAACAGCATCATCATCAGCCTCATCGCCATCATCATCATCATCATCATTATCATCGGGACACCGTCATCATCATATTCAGCATCAGCATCATCAAATCATCTGATCATCATCAACATCAGCATCATCATCAACCTCATCATCGTCATCTGGGCACCATCATCATCAGCAACATCATCATCGTCAACATCATCATCGGGGCACCATCATTATCACCACCATCACCATTACCATCATCACCAACATCGTCATCATCATCATCATCATCATCATCGGGACACCATCATCACCACCATCACCATCATCATCATCATCGTCATCATCATCATCATCATCATCATCATCATCATCATCATCATCATCGGGACGCCGACGGGACACCGGCGGGACACCGGCGGGACACCGCGCGCCACCGGCCCCCGAGCGGGACACCGGCGGGACACCGCGGGGCACCAGTTTCCGGAACGGAGACTTTTGGTCCGGCCGCGCCTCAGCTACAGGAGACTTATTTCTCGCCCGCCCACGCAGCTTCGCCTCGCCCGCACGCACGGCACGCACGAACACGAAACCGAAACCGATTTCCCGGTAGGGGGGCTCTGCGTTCCACTTCGATCTCACCCCCTCACCTCCGACATATGTATCAGACATAATTTATCGTCGATTCCCCAGAAAATATGGGAAAATATGGGAAGTGGGGGGGAAGACAGAAATCCAGAAAATATTGGAAAATAGGGGGAATCATTTGATTTGTGTGTGTGTATTTATTTGTGTATCCCAGGGCCCCTTCAATGTATGTGTTTCCCTAATCTAAGCTTGCCTCAAGAGGGGTCCTAGCGGATTCATATGGTCAGATGAGGTTTGTCGCCGATTTCCGCGGCCCGCCCCGGTGCCCAGGTGCCCGAGTGCCCGAGTGCCCTCGTGCCTAGGTGCCCAGGTGCCTTATAGCCCAAAAGTTTTATAGCCCTATAGCCCTACAGCCCCATAGCCCTCTAACCCTATAGCCCTATAGCTCAATAGCCTTATAGCCCTATGTCCCTGTAGCCTTATAGCCCTACAGCTCTGTAGTCCTATCGCCCTAGAGCCTTACAGCTCTATAGCTGCAGAGCCCTCTAGCCCGAGAGCCCTATAGCCCCATAGCCTCATAACCCTATGGCCATATAGCCCAAGAGCCCTATAGCCCCATAGCCCCATAACCCTATGGCCCTATAGCCCAATAGCCCAATAATCCAATAGCCCTATAGCCCTATATCCCTATAGCCCTATAGCCCTATAGCTCTATATATGCGTATAGCCCCCCTGTAGCCCTATAGCCACATAGCCCTATATCCCTATAGCCCTACAGCCCTATGGTCCTACAGCCCTATAGCCCTATGGACCTATGGTCCTACAGCCTTACAACCCTATCGACCTACAGTCTCATGGCCCTATTGCCCTATAGTTCCATAGCCCTATATCCCAATAGCCCCATAGCCCAATAGCCCAATTGCCCCATAGCCCTATATCCTTGTAGCCCCATGGCCCCATCGCCCTATAGCCCCATACCCCTATAGCCCTACAAATAAGGGTTTTCTCCGGTATCATGTGTACATATATACGACAGGTAAACTGTCAGTATCGTATGGTTAATTCGAAGTTCAGTTCTCCCGACCCCTTCCCTCGTGTTCCCGGGACCGCTTCTGATAGATCCGCGGCCCGATGTGACGGGCCCCGGCTTCGACATCTGGGCAGCCCGCCCAGATGGACAAGATCACGTCGTCGGAGATCCGGGCTGGCCCCGCGGCGAGAAGAGGCATCGTGGGCCTCCCCCGCTGGAGCTGGCCCGCCAGCGGTGGTGATGGTGCCGCTTTTCCTTCTGCATCTTCGAGAAAAACACTGTAGGAAAAAAACACACACAAAGCACAAAAAACACACTGTGGGAAAAAAACACACACACAGTCTGTGGGAAAAACACACACAGACGGTGTGTGTTTTTGTGTTTTTTTTTCTCACAGACTTGTCTGTCCCATCGCGTCGCCACTCTCGTTGCATCCGCGCCGACTCCGCGTCGGATCCGCCAATCCGCGTCGAATCCGCACCGAACCCGCGCCGAATGCACGTCGAACTCGCTGCGAATGCGTCGAATCCGCGTCGATCTGCGATCCCGCGTCGAATCCCACATCATGTCGTCGGATGTCTGGGCTTGCTTCGAACATCAGCAGGTTGCATAAACAGCAACTTTGAGAGCTCCGCGCGGATTTCTTGGATTGGCTCTGGGGCCCCTGACGGCGTCTCTGGGGCCGCCCCTGGCGCGCTCCGCGCGCTGCGGAGGTTCGAAAGTATATATGCGCACATAGTTGCTTATTCCTTTATTTGCCCCCCCATTTGGGCAGCGCCCGAGAAGGTGGCCTTCGCGTTCCGCGCGCGGCAGGGCGCGCCGCTGCTGCTCGGCACCGAGTCGCCCTCGGGCCAGCGCTGAGTCCCCCCGGCGCCGCGGGGCGGGCACACGCCTCGCCCCGCCCGTGCCTGCTCGGCCTCGCCCGCGGCAGGGCCGCGGAGTGACGCCGCCGAGACGGCGCCGACGCCGACGCCGACGACGCCGACGCCGACGCCGAAGACGACGACGACGAGCACGACGAGCACGACGACGACGACGACGACGACGACGACGACGAGATCGAGGGAGCGGCGCGTTGCCCCACCCGAGCGCCGGAGGGGGAGCAGGGTGCCGATGCCGCTGCCCCTCCCCTCGTCTGTGCCACCGTGGGCACTCCAGATTTCGTAATACAGGGAGGGGGGTCTCATTTCGGGGGGGGGTCTCTCCCAGGCTATCTTGGAGGGCCCGGGGGTGTCTGGGGGCGATGTTTTGGGGGGTTCTCCCACGGGGGAGGTCTGGAATGGCTTGTCTTGGAGGGTCCAGACCCCCTCCCTTTTATTACGAAGTCTGGAGTATCCCGGGAGTGGGGGCCAGCTGGGGGGGCCAGCCAGAGGTCAGCACTGGCAATGGCCAGCAAGTGGGGGGGGGAGCACGGGGCCCCCTTGTCCCTCTCGTCGCCACGGCTGGATGCGGCGACGACTGGTCGGCTTCGCACTGGTTCTTGAGCGAGTCTTTGCCCTCTGACCCCCCCTCTCGACCGATGTCCTCCTGGGCTCCTCCAGCCCAGACCCCCGACGTAATGATTTTTTCATTACGTCGACCCCCAGAGGTCCCGACCCTTTCCCCATGACCGGCTTTGCATCCTGAGTCGTTTTTTGACGCTCCCGAGGCCCGGTGAGGGCCCCAGGAGGCCGAAAATTAGGAAAAACCTCCCGCCATGATTTTTTCATTACTCGAGGGGGTCTGGGAACCCAGACCCCCTGGCCGCCTTGACCCGGGAGGCGCCGCGGCCGGAGCCGCTCCGAGGTCCGCCTCTCCGGCCTGGGCCGCCCTCCTCGCCACGGCCGGAGTCGCCTCGATAAGTCCTGGCCAGCAGGCGCCACGGGAGAGCTTCCTCCTCCTCCTCCTCCTCCTCCTCCTCCTCCTCCTCCTCCTCCTCCTCCTCCTCCTCCTCCCCTCCTCCCTCCTCCCCCTCCTCCTCCTCCCTCCTCCTCCTCCTCCTCCTCCTCCTCCTCCTCCTCCTCCTCCTCGTACACGCCGGCCGCTGAAAGCAGGTATTCTGGGACTCCCGGCTCCCAGTCTGCTCCCAGCGCCTTCCTGCCTCAAGATTCGGCACGCTCTCGCCGTGTGCTGTCGTTCTCTGGAGGGGCCTGGGCTCCATGCGCCTACTTCCTGCTTCTGCCTACTTCTTCCGGCCGACGTGTATCGGTACCCTGCGCACCACCCACCAAACCACCCCAACCCCACCCGAAGGCTTTTCAGTTTGCCCTCCATTTCCAGTCGGGGGGGGGGGGGTCGGGGAGCCTCGAAAAAAAAACACATGGTCCCCGTAACCCCCCCCCCCCACCCGAAATTCGGGTCAGATTCATGTCTTCGGGTTGGGCCGGGGTGGTCTGGTAGGCAGTCACTTGCTGTGCCCCCAGCCCCGGGCGGCGAGCGCCCTCCAGCGGCGGCGGGGCTCGCGCCGCGTCGGCGCGGCGGCGTCCCCCCGGCGCTGTCCGTCTCGGCGACGGGCCCGGGGTTTGCCAGCTTCGAACGTATCCCGATCCCTAAGACTGGCACGCCAAGAGGCGACGGCGATCTTAGGGAGTCCGCCCTCAAAACGTAAGGAACTCCCCAGGATTGGCGTCGTGAGGAGGAGGTGCCCAGCATAGGGATAGGCACATGCTCCAGGCTGGTAAAAAGGGCGGCGGCGCGAGGGGGCGGGCCCGCGCGGAAGGCTCGGAGGTCCCCGGGCCTCGCGAGAAGTTTTCTGAGCTGATGTCGGGCCTGTCCCTCTACAGGAGGGATCTTCGAACATTGTCAACACAAGTAGTCTGGGGACGGTGTTGGACTATTTCTGCCCATTCGGGGGGCCTTTTTTGAGCATGTTTTGCTTTTCGCCCCCAATCCCCCTGTATGGGGGACACGCCCGACTTAAGTCTAAGCCTCCCGAACACATAGGCGGCTTCTCAGGAGGCCTGAGGGCTTCTCCCGCCGCCTTCTGAGAAGGCCTTCTCCCTCTCGCTTCAAGCGGGGCGCGCCGCCGGCCACCCCCGGACATCTTGGCGTCGTGGGGGAGGCGCGGCCGGTTTCGGGGCGACCCGGCATTGGACAGGCGTCGAGATTTCGCATGTTTTGAAGTCCCGCTCTTTTCCCCGGTCTCGGCCCTTGGAGCCCCTTCTTGGTCCCCATGGGCCTGCTGGTCTCGGGGCGAACAGCTGCCCTCGGGGGGAGGGGTGGGGACCCTTTCTGGGGCCGCGCACGGAAAATATCGCACCGTCGGACGTCTGGGTCTACTTCTCGGCGGCCAGCCCGGGGGGGAAGTGAGAGGGGGCGGACCGTCTCGGGAGGTTCGGAAGTACTCGGGCCTTGCTTTTCGATCCCAGTTTGTTTGTAGGCTCGGGGACGACGTCTGGGTGGCGTTGTGTGGTGCATACTTGTTTATCCGTTCCCCGGGGAAAGAACGAGACATGTATACACCAGGGTCCCATATACTCCAGGGTCAGCTTTCCTGTGCGAATTTCAGTGCGGGGTCGGACAAAAAGCGTCGGTGCATAGAGTTTGGCTCCTTGCTTGTGAGAAGTCTTCTAAGCCTCCCAGAAGACACACAACGCTTCTCGGCAGGCCAGAGGGCTTCCGAGAAGCCCCGCCGCCCTCTGAGAAGGCCTTCTCCTTCGCACTTCCCCCCCTCGCCCGCCGCCGACATTCGACCAGGCCCGGTCGATGCGTCCCGATGGCCCACACGCCTCAGATCTGGTTCCGCTGCCGGCTGCTCCTGCGCGGCGGCGGCCCGAGCGCGGGCGCTCCGGGCGGAGCGCCCCCGGCCAAGAGCCTGCCGATGCCGAGCGGTCCGCGCCGCATCGGAGCGCTGCGATCGTTGCGTGCGGAGGGATCCACGGGTTTGGCAGGAGTCGCCGCGCAAGTTGCCACTGCGGGGCGTGAAAACGACCACAGCCACTGCTCTTCTTCTGTCGCCACCTTCCGGCCCGCAGAAACAGAGCAGTGGTTGTGGTCATTGTCGTTGAGCTCGGCACCAGGGAAATGACCACGACCACTGCTTCTTTTTCGGCCGGTTGGAAGGCGCAAACGAGAAGCAGTGGTTGTGGTCATTTTCCCGTCCCGCAGATCCACGGGTTTGGCAGGAGTCGCCGCGCAAGTTGCCACGACCCGGGCCTGCCGTGCCTCCCCCGCCAGGGCGGCCAAGACAGTGGCCACCCCGCCCTGGGCGCCCGCGGTCGGCGCAGAGATGCCGCGCCTCCGAGTTCACTGCGGCGACCTGCCCACAAGGCGGCCAAGGCGCCGTATCTGGTGGGTGCCGTGCTGGCACGTGCAAAAGGTTCGAAGCGCTGCTGCGGGCGAGTGGCTATCGTTCGTCGTCCCCCCCCCCCCCTCAAGTGTATAGGCGCCGTGGCGGACCGCCGGTTGTCACAGGCACGCCGCGGCGCAGAAATTCGGAAGGGTACCCGCGCGCAGCCGGCGGGATGGGTTGTTCTCGCAGCCGCGCGTGGCCGCGTAGCCGTTACGTTCGGGGGTGGGCAAAACCCCACCCTGACACGTGGATTAGTGACTTGTCCGTTTTCGGTTCTCGAGAGGGCGCCGCGGCCGTCATTTTCCAGGCTTGCGCCCGCCAGGTGTTGGGCCCGAGGTCGTTTTCACTGAACCACGTTTTACTGAAGGGGGTTCTGTCCATCCCCGATACGTAGCCGCATGGCCGCGTACCCGTTCGTCGCCAGTAGGGTGCCCGCGCGCAGCCGCGCGCACCCGCGCGCAGCCGCGCTGCTGTCACGCTAATGCCAGCTTGCGGGACTCGGGGCCGTGCTCGGCGCCGCTCCAAAGGCCGTGCGCCGAACGCCGCGCTCTGTACAAGCCTTCGGTCGCCCGTGTCCCTCTACAGGGGGAATATTCAGAAACAGTCAAAACAGTAGTCCGGGGACGATTTTTCTAGTATGTTTTGACCACTTGGGGGCATGTTTTGACAATGTTTTATTTTTCGTCCAAAATCCCCTATTCGGGGGACATGCCCGACCTAATGCAAGCCGCGGCCTGCCCAGACGGGCCGTGACTGCGGCAGCGTGCGGGTCCATACCTTGCCGTCGTCGGGTGTATCCTTTGGCCTTGAGTCGGGCCTGTCCCCCTACAGGAGGGATATCCGTCTACAGGAGGGATATCCAAGAATAATCCCAAAGCATTAATAAGACAATTTATGAAACTTAGCGAACACAGTCGCCATCGACTGTTTTAAACCACGCGGCGCAGCGGTAGTGATGAGGAGAAGGGAGGAGAATACGACGACGACTGGACGCCGATAAATGACATTGGAGGCGTTCCGCCGTGAGTGACGGAGCTAGCGGAGATAGAGTATGGAGGAGGAAGGAGGAGGAGGCGGAGGAGGAGGAGGAGGGGTAGAAGGGGGAGGAGGAGGAACACAACGGAAATAGAGTATGGAGGAGGGAGGGGGGAGGACGGGAGAGGGAGGAGGAGGAGGTGGAGGAGGAGGAGGAGGAGAAGGATGAGGAGGAAGAGGAGGAGGAGGGGTAATAGGAGGAGGAGGAGGAGGAGGATGAGGATGAGGGAGAGGAGGAGGGGGGGGAGGGGGAGTGGGATAAGGGGGAGAGGGAGGGGAATAGGAGAGGTGGGCGGAGGAGGAGGAGGAGGAGGAGGAGGAGGAGAAGGAGGCGGAGAAGGAGGAGGAGGGGGAGGACGAGGACGAGGAAGAGGAGCAGGAGGAGCAGGAGGAGCAGGACGAGCAGGAGGAGCAGGAGGAGCAGGAGGAACAGGACGAGCGGAGAAAGGAGGATGAAGAGGAGCAGGAGGAGCAGGAGGAGGAGGAGGAGGAGGAGGAGGAGGAGGAGGAGGAGGAGGAGACGGAGGAGGAGGAGGAGGAGGAGGAGGAGGAGGAGGAGGAGGAGGAGAGAGGAGGAGAAAGGGAGGATAATGCTGAGGAGCAGGCGGAGGAGGAGGAGAAGGAGGAGGAGGAGGCGGAGGAAGAGGCGGAGGAGGAGAAGGAGGGGGAACTCTGGGGAGGCGGAGGAGGAGGGGGATGAGGAGGATGAGGAGGAGGAGGAGGAGGAGGAGGAGGAGGAGGAGGAAGAGGAGGATGAGGAAAGGGAGGCGGAGGAGGAGCATGAGGAGGATGGTGAGGACGGGGATGAGGAGGAGGAGGAGGAGGAGGAGGACGAGGAGGAGAGGCCGGGGGATTGTGGCGTCGCTGTGGGTTTTAGACGAAAATTTACGATATTTCACGTTGTTCCTCATCATTCTGCTGATGTTTTCTTTCTCGTTTTCTCTCCCTCTCTCTCTCTTAATCTCTCCCACTCCCATTCCCATTCCATTCCCATTCACAATACCATTACCATTACCATCCCCATTCCAATTCCCATTCCCATTCACATTACCGTTACCATTACCATTACCTTTACCTTTATCTTTACCTTTACCTTTACCATTACCATTACCATTGCCATTACAATTGCCAGTGCCATAACCATTGCCATTACAATTGCCATTATCATTGCCATTGTCGTTGCCATTGCCATGGTATTGCCATTGCCAGTCGCCACCCCGTTACCATTACCATTACCATTCCCATTACCATTACCATTCGCCACTACCATTACCATTGTCATTATCATTAGCATTACCAACACAATTGCCATTAACATTACCATTAGCGCTGCCATCACCATTACAATTCCCATTCCCATCACCATTGCCATTCGAATTAACGTTACCAGTACCATTTCCATTACCATTGCCATTATCATTACCACTACCACTACCATTTCCATTCCCGTTCCCGTTCCAAGTACCACTACGATTCCCATTCCCATTACCATTACCATTACCATTACCATTACCATTACCATGACCATGACCATTACCATTGCCATGGCCATTGCTATTGCCATTGCCATTGCCGTTGTCATTCCCATTGCCATTGCCATTGCCAGTCCCATTACCATTACCATTGCCATCGCCGTTGCCATTGCCATTGCCAGTCGCCACCCCGTTACCATTGCCATAACCATTACCATTACCGTTATCGTCACCATTACCATTCCCAGTACCCTTATCATTACCACTGTCATTGCCATTGCCATTACCATTGCCATTGCCATTGCCATTCGCCACTACCATTACCATTGCCATTCGCCACTACCATTACCATTACCATTGCCATTGCCATTGCCCTTCGCCACTACCATTGCCATTGCCAGTACCATTACCATTCCGATTCACATTCCCATTCCCAATACCAGTACCATTACCATTACCATTACAACTGCCATTGCCATTACCATTACCTTTACCGCTACCTTTACATTTACCCTTACCCTTACCATTCCCATTTCCGTTACCACTACCACTACCATTTCCATGCCCGTTCCCATTCCCATTCCCGTTCCCATTCCCATTCACATTACCATTGCCATTACCATTACCATTGCCATTGCCATTGCCATGGCCATTACCATTGCCATTGCCATTGCCATTACCATCACCGTTGCCATTGTCATTGTCATTGCCATTGCCAGTCGCCACCTCGTTACCACTATCATTACCGTTACCATTACCAGTACCATTACCATGACCTCTGTCATTACCATTACCATTCGCATTGCCATTGCCACTAGCCACTACCATTACCATTGCCAGTACCATTTCCATTGCCATTCCTATTATCATGACCATTACCTTTACCATTACCATTACCATTATCATTATCATTTCCATTGCCATTACCATTACCTTTACCTCTACCTTTACCTTTACCCTTACCCTTATCATTCCCATTTCCGTTACCTCTACCACTACCATTTCCATTCCCGTTCCCATTCTTTCTCCCATTCACATTCCTATTCCCGTTCCCATTCCCATTTCCATTACCTCTACCATTGCATTTACCATTGCCGTTGCCATTGCCATGGCCATTATCATTGTCATTGCCATTGTCAATCCCATTGTCATTGTCATTACCATTACCGTTGCCATTGTCATTGTCATTGCCAATCGCTACCCCCTTACCATTACCGTTACCATTACCATTACCAGTACCATTACCATTACCTCTGTCATTACCATTACCATCACCATTGCCATTGCCATTCGTCACTGCCATTACCATTGCCAGTACCATTTCCACTCCCATTCCCATTACCATTAGCATTACCATTACCATGAGACTACCGCTGCCATTGCCATTAGAATTCTCATTCCCATTCCCAATACTATTACAATTTCCATTGTCATTACCATTACCATTACCATTTCCAGTGCCATTACCATTACCACTACCACTATCACTTCCATTCCCGTTCCCGTTCCCAGTCCCACTTCCATTCCCATTACCATTACCATTACCATTACCATTGCCACTGCCATTGCCATTACCATTACCATTACCATTACCATTACCTTTAACGCTACCCTTACCTCTACCCTTACCATTACCATTGTCATGGCCATTACCATTGCCATTGCCATTGCCATTCCCATTACCATTGCCATTGCCATTACCATTACCGTTGCCATTGCCATTGCCATTGTCATTGCCTCGCTACCCCGTTACCACTATCATTACCGTAACCATTACCAGTACCATTACCATTGTCATTACCATTACCATTACCATTACCATTATTGCCATTGCCATTGCCATTGCCATTCGAGGATTTCAGTAGGAATCATTCAGTGGAGGGTTTCAGTAGGAATCCACATGTGGAGGATTTCGGTAGGAATCATTCAGTGGAGGGTTTCGATCGGAACCCTTCTGTCGAGGATTTCACTGTGAATCCTTCTTATGGGGGCGTCCAATAGGAATCCTTCTAGGGGGGAGGGCAGATGTGGCCACGTCGCATTCCTTTTTTTTCTCCTGGCGCCCCCCCCCCCAGAAAAAAAAATCAAAAACAAAACAATTTTGTTTTTCTGGGGGGGGGCGCCAGGAGGAAAAAAAAAAGGCAGAGAGGTAGCAGGAGGGGGAGAGGGAGGAGGAGGAGGAGGAGGAGGCGGAGGAGGAGGAGGAGGAGGAGGACGACACTGAGCAGAGTTTGCACAGAAACAGTCGCGAACTCAGCGCGAAACCCTCGCGCGCGCGCTGTGGAACCCCAGCGACTCCACAATCCCCCGTTCTCGAGGAGGAGGGGGAAGTGTAATAGGACGGGGGAGGGGAACGGGAAGGGGAGGGGGGATCAGGGATTGAAGAGGAGGACGGAGGAGCAGGAGGAGTAGGAGCAGGAGCAGGAGCAGGAGCAGGCAGGAGGAGGACGAGGGGGGAGGAGGGGAGGAGGATGAGGTGGAGGAGGAGTGGGAAGAGGGAGAGCGGAGGAGAGGAGGAGGAGAGGAGGAGTGAATGCGGATGGGGAGGAGGCGGAAGAGGAGGAGGAGGGGGGGAGGGGAGGAGGAGAGGAGGAGGAGGAGGAGGAGGGGGAAGCAGGAGGAGGAGAAGGAGGAGGAGGAGGAGGAGGAGGAGGAGGAGGAGGAGGAGAAAGGAGGATGACTTGCAGGAAGAGGGAGGAGGAGGAGGAGGATGAGGAGGGGGGATGAGAGGAGTCGGAGGAGGAGGGGGGTTGGGGAGGAGGATGGAGGAGGAGGAGGAGGAGGAGGAAGGAGGAGGAGGAGGGATGATGATGATGATGATGATGATGATGATGATGATGATGATGATGATGATGATGATTGATGATGATGATGATGATGATGATGATGATGATGATGATGTGAGATGAGGAGGAGGGAGGAGGAGGAGGAGGAGGAGGAGGAGGGAGGAGGAGCAGGAGGGAGGAGGAGGAGGAGGAGGAATAGGAGGAGGAACGGGGCTCCAAGGTGGGGGGAGAAGGGGCCACGGAGCCAAGGACTGGGGCCTGGGGTC